TTTAGTAGAGATGGGGTTTCACCTTGTTGACCAGGATGGTCTCGATCTCTTGACCTCGTGATCCACCCGCCTTGGCCTCCCAAAGTGCTGGGATTACAGGCTTGAGCCACCGCGCCCGGCCTTTGAGACAGTACTATTTAATCCCCATTTTACAGATATAAAGACCGAGCCAAAGGGAAGCTAAATAATGCACCTGTGGTCAAGCAGTGTCTAAATGGCAATGCCAAATTCAAATCCTGGCATTCTGGTCCCAGAGTCTGTGCTCCTAACACATCCACCTAGGACCATGGGCAGGTCTAGTCTGTAGCGCCCGCTTGTTCTAGCCGGAGTGGTCTGAGATCAGAATGCCTTCAGGAGGCCCTAGCTGATAAGTAACTAGAGACTTGAGATCCTGGTTCTCTCCAGACCCTCAGCAGAGCCAATGAATGGTATGGAAATTGACTTTGGGCCAGTGGGAGGCCAAGAATGGGAAGCTGCCCTTCAGCCCAACCCCAGCCTGTCCAATTCTCTGAGTCCAACCTGAGCATGACCTGACAGAGGGCATAATGCCAGGGACTCTTGAAGCTCATACTGTGCCCTCCCTTCCTGGAAATGAAAATTAAATATTCGTGAGAGAGAAAGCCCTTCACACACCTGCGACACTCACCCCAGCACCATCCTGATTGTAATTCAATGCTTATCTGTACAGACACATCTTTCTTCTCTGTCTTCCTTGCTGGGAGCCCATCAAACTAGGGCCCTTCTATTTTGCTTATTGCTGCATTACCAGGGCCTCTCAGAGGCTTAATAAATACTTACAGAAATGAGTGAGGAGTTGTGGCTTTCCCAGGCAATACCTCCCACTAGCCAAGGGTACTAGACTTGTCGGAAGGAAACAACGAGAGGAAGCTCTTACCTGTGGAGGTTGGAACTGGGGTCCCAGAAGTAGACGCCATCACAACTGAGAAGAAAATGCAATGAGGCTGATGTGGAGAGAGGGAGAGATTCCCTAGCCGAAGTGGCTCACCAGAAGACCTCAAGACCCTTTTATTGCTTGGCTCAAGCCTGTACTGGCATGTCCTTTCTGGGCTGGGGAAGATAGCAAAAGACCAGAGAAGGGATGGCCCCTAGGGCAAAATAGTAAAATAACCCATGCTACTTACTGCTGGGGGTGGAGGTCAGGACCTGGTGAGTGTAACCTGAAGAAAGAGAGGGCGAAGGTTTCTAAGAATGGAGGAATGGGAAGAGGTGGCAAGAATCTGGAGCCCAATGAGTTCTGATGGTTGCATTTATTTAAGTTATGTTTACAGAGTGCCCTCAAAGTGAAATCCTGTAGGCAAACCCCAGAAACGATGGCTGGAGCACAGGGAAGAAATTCTATGTTGGGTTAGCTGCAGTTCATCCTTCCATAATCTGTCCACCCCCATCACCTTCTGTAGGAATCTGATCTTTCGTTGTTATCTCCAGAAAAGCTTTGAAGACACCGCTTTCTTATTCAATATGAGCCGAGACTCATTACGAAACTGCAGAGCATGCACTCTGCAAGAAGACCCATGGGCAAGCAGAACTTCCTATCTCACCATTGACATAAAGGCTGTCCCTGCCCAGGGTGTAGAAGCCCAGCCGGGTGACTCCATGGGTCTCACGACTCAGCTCCCAGTACAGCCTCTCTCTGTCCAGCCCAGTGCTTGTGGGCTCAGAGCTGTGGGTGCAGATGGCATCCACTCTGGTAGCAGATCCATTCTTCATGGGCCTGGGAGGAGACACAGGGATGGGGACACATGCAGGGCTGATGATGAGGGTGAGCAATAATAATAATAATAATCTGGAAAAGCCACAAAGCTGAAATCACCTTTGGTAAATGATCAATAGATGAAGAAGAGGAAATGGGACTAGAGTTGTCACAACGCTTGTTCAGCATCCACACACCAGCCTTCTACCACCCTACTCCCAGTTTAAGCCAAGGGGAAAGAAAAACAGGTCGGAGACAGCCTCCAAAACCTTGCAAATCCTTTGGGTGCATCACCTTTGAGGACTTTAAATGTAGGTTAGGAAATGTGCATGCAGGTCAGGCATGGTAGTTCATGCCTGTAATCCCAGCACTTTGGGAGGCCGAGGTGAGTGGATCAACTGAGGTCAGAAGTTCGAGACCAGCCTGGCCAACATAGTGAAACCCCATCCCTACTAAAAATACAAAAAATTAGCTGGGAGTGGTGGTGGGAGCCTGTAATCCCAGCTAATCAGGAGGCTGAGGCAGGAGAATCGAACCTGGGAGGTGGAGGCTGCAGTGAGCTGAGATGGCGGTATTGTACTCCAGCCTGGGTGACGGAGCAAGACTCTGACTAACTCAGGAAAAAACTGGAAATTGGCCCTGTCCAATATGGTAGCCACAAGCCTATGTGAGTATTTAAATTAAAACTTTAATGACGTAAAATTACATAAAATTTACAACTGTACAGTTAAAAATGGTTAAGGTAGTAAGTTTAGTGTTACAGATATTTTGGCATATTAAAAACAAAAAGGAGCCAGGTGTGGTGACTCACGCCTGTAATCCCAGCACTTTGAGAGGCCAAGGCGGGTGGATCACTTAAGGTCAGGAGTTCAAGACCAGCCTGGTCAACATGGTGAAACCCTTTCTCCACTAAAAATACAAAAAATTAGCTGGGCGTGGTGGCAGGTGCCTGTAATCTTATCTCATGGGTGATGAGAGCAAGACTCCGTCTCAAAAGAAAAGAAAAGAAAAAAGAAAACAGAAAAGTGCATGCTACAGGGACTTTTCAGTTCTGCTTTTAATTTTTTCCGTAGCGCAAAATCATTTTGGAAACTTCAAGGCATTCACTCCTGGGGAATGCTGGTTTTGTTTGTTTTTTGTTTTTGAGACAGAGTCTTACTCTGTTTCCCAGTCTGGAGCACAGTGATGTGATCTTGGCTTACTGCAACCTCCACCTCCCGGGTTCAAGTGATTCTCTCACCTCACCTCCCAAGTAGCTGGGATTACAGGCTCCTGCCACCACACCCGGCTAATTTTTGAATTTTTTTTAGTAGAGAAGGGGTTTCATCATGTTGGCCAGGCTGATCTGGAACTCCTGATCTCAGGGTATCCACCTGCCTCAGCCTCCCAAAGTGCTGGGATTATAGGCATGAGCCACCGTGCCCAGCTAGGGATGTTCTACACCTGGATTAGGACCTGATGGAAGACAGAACAGAGGAATGAGAAGACAGGAACTGGGCAGTGGGCTCAGGAGGTTCAGCATCACAGGTGCCCGCAGCCTGCTACACCTGGGCAGGTGGGGAGCAAGGTGGATCCAGGAAGTGAATGTGAGAGGAGTGGGAGTGTGAGCATCCACACCTGGGTATAGCTGGGAGCTCAGAAGACAATATCCCAAAATGAAGGCCTCAGAGGAAGCCTCAGAAGTAAAAGTTTTTCTTTACCTTCTGCCCTCCTATCTCTGTTTCATTCTCCCCAGAGGCCAGCCTTAGAACCTAGAATCCTTCTTCCCCAAGGTGGGTCTTAGAAACTAGAACCTCTGAGGCCGGGCGCGGTGGCTCAAGCCTGTAATCCCAGCACTTTGGGAGGCCGAGGCGGGTGGATCACGAGGTCAAGAGATCGAGACCATCCTGGTCAACATGGTGAAACCCCGTCTCTACTA